TTATACATGCCATCCTGTAATCCTAGGATTACCCTTCCGTATATTTGCATCACACCTGAACAGTCCACTGCTTTTTAAAGCTCATTTTTATACACCTTATGTTGGTGACTAAAACTCCTCTTTCTTTTTGTCTCTATCACCATAAAGTAATACCATCACAGACTCAGAGGTTTCCGAGGAGCTTTGATTAATCCATGTTCACTGATCCCAGCTTGTGTCTTCTGGTTTAGGTTTTTCATGTCTTTTAACCTCTTGAAGTCCCTTGTGATAAATTACTTTTCCTTCTTTAAGGTGCTCACTCTTTAACTCCTCACTCACGACATCTTGGTTGTGATGGTTCAACTCCTCCTGTCCTTTCTCTTGCTCTCTGTGATTTTATTTATGTAATTAGATACACAGTGTGTGGGTGTAATAAAATTTACATGTGTACTTTCCTTTAATGGATGTACTTTTTGTTCTAGTGTGCCATTATGGAAACACCCTCACTGCCACTGTCTCTCAGGTCAAAAAGAGATATGTTTGATATGTGATTTTGCTGCTAAGTGCATTTTATTCTGACAGATGTGATATGCGTATAGTTTGTCACAAAAACAGCCCAAATGGTAAGAGCTATTTATCGCCTCGCTCAGAAGACGAACGCCTCACCCAGCAGAGTAAAGTTCCTCTGTTTTGACTACAGCTTGAAGATTTTTGAGTCAAGCTGAGTTAAATTATGTGTTTGTATGTTTAAGGCTTCAGGTCTTTCAAGCAGCTCACTGCTTCAGAATAGAAAAACACTCCTCATGATTCATGCCTGTCTCCCTTGTTCTCTCTGACTAATGTGTCTAACCATCATCTGGTTTAATGGTTAATGAAGGCCAGTGTGTGTGTGCGTGCACATGTGTGATTTCAAACACATCGACATCCACACGTACTCTTTCAGTGACACATTTATGTTTTCTTCACCGCTCTTACACTGAAGATTGAAGTCTTGGAAATCCTTGCCTCTTGAATGTCTTTCACATCAATAATCTGTTCTGGTGGCCTGTAAATATGCACCCTTGTCCAATACTTGAAAGGAATGATTTTAACCCAAAGTGAAAAGGAACACTAATAACAGATGCTGCAGCAGAATCTTTTTTTTTTCTTCAGCCTTGGGTTTTGTCAAAAAAGGCCCTGACCAGTGTTATTTGTTACTCTCTTGCTTAGTAACAGTTGTGATTATGTATTTGGACTACGCTTGCTGTGGTGGGCTACAATTATAAACTGTGTTCTCCGTACAGCAGCAGAAGCAGCAGTAGAGTCGCAGCACAGAGTAGCAGGAGTCAGATTTTACAAGACAATGACAGAGGATTTGGTGTGAGGATGAAAAGCGAAACCTCTGTTTGGTAATGTTGCGGATTTAAACCCAGTGTTTAAAGGGAAATGGATAATGTTAATGAGGGAAAAGGGGTTAGTTACACTGCGAAGACGTTGGAGGTATGCAGCTTGTCGCTTGCAACTGCTCCTTGCTCCAGTGCTCCATTGCAAATGCCAGAAACGGCCGTTTTCTTGTTGTCTAAATGCAGTTTTCTCAAACTTGTTTTTTTTTTCGATGGACAGTGATTTTAAATTGGATCGGCAAATTAGCTCTGTAGTGAAGTCCATCTTTTTTCAAATTAGACAGCTGGCTAAGGTGAAACCTTTCCTTGCACAACAGCACTTTGAAACAGTAATCCATGCCTTTATTACATCTCGGCTGGATTACTGTTAAGGATAGACCAATACATCGGCTGGCCGATATATCGGGCCAATATTTGAGTTTTTTACTTGTATCGGCATCGGCCGATACGCGCGTGGGTTCGCGGATTTATTTTTCCCTGGCACTTTTTTTCATTTGAAAGTATGTGGTTAAGTTGAACAAAGCTGTTGAATCCTACTGTGTACAGTAGTTGTTGTTTTATTTATGCTTCAGCTTAAGTATTTGTTTATTTTATAAAGACATTACTGGAAGATTTAAGAGCACTGAACTCTTTTTTTTATTTGAATGTATAATGATAATAATAATATTCTACCTGTTCTACCTCAACTTTCCATCTTGTTTTAGTATTTTTTACTGTTCAATAAATGTTTCTTATTTTAAACTTGAGACCTGTAATATTTGTTATCATTGTGTCATTTTTTTTATGTAAATTGAGGAAGCAAAAGCAGTATCGGCCCCAAATATCGGCTCAAGAAAATCGGCAGTCCATAATCGGTCATCGGCTAAGGGTGATGGAAAAAAATCAGTATCGGCATCGGCCCTAAAAAATCCATATCGGTCTATCCCTAATTACTGTAATGCACTTTATTTTGGAGTCAGCCAGTCCTCCCTTGCACATCTCCAGTTGGTGCAAAACGCAGCTGTGCGCCTGTTAACTGGAGTACGTAAGAGGGAGCATATAACTCCCATCCTGGCCTCCCTCCACTGGCTGCCTGTGCACTTTAGAGTCCATTTTAAGATTCTTTTATTAGTTTTTAAATCTTTAAATGGTCTGGCCCCACCTTACCTCCCTGAGCTTCTCCACTCCTACACTCCTGCTCGGTGCCTCAGGTCAGCCAATCTGCTGCTCCTGGAGGTACCGAGGTCCAAACGGAAGCTCAGACGGGACAGAGCTTTTTTCGTTGCCGCTCCTAAATTGTGGAACGACCTACCCCTCCACATTAGACAAGCCTCCTCACTGTCCATTTTCAAAACTCGTCTAAAAACCCATTTTTATTCCTTGGCTTTCAACTCCGCATGAGACTCTGCTTCTGTTTTAGTGTTTTACAGTTTGTTTTATTTATGGTTTTATTGTTTTTAAATTGTTTTAAAAACAATAAACAATTATTTTAGTATTCATTTCCTGTTAATTGATTTATGTCCCTGTGTTGCTTTGTCTATTTATGTACAGCACTTTGTTTCAGCTGTGGCTGTTTTAAAGCGCTATATAAATAAAGTTGAGTTGAGTTGAGTTTTAATGAATAGCCCCTTTTACACTGCCAGATTTTCCGCGAATGTTGGGCCGTTTGGCCAGCAAGCTGCGAGCATTTAGACACACAGAGCCGGATTGGCGAGTTGATCCGATGTGCCATATTGTCATATTGGCGGAACCCTTTTAGTTTAAACAGACCAAGGCGGCCTTCCACAACGGGAGGGGCTGTTGAAGACGCCACATGTGCGAGCCACTGGCGGTGGATAAACAGGAAACAGCTGATAGCAGGAATCAGCGAGCAGCTAGTAGCAAGAGGGAAACGCAACCCTGACAGACACTGTAAAGATGAGCAACTGGGGAGACAAGGAATTGCGTGCCCTCCTTGTCCTTGCAAACGAAGAGGCCATTAACCGTCAGATGACAGGGACGGTGAAGAACGGGCCGATTTACGACAGAATCACCGAAGGACTGACCAGCCGCGGCTTCCCTCCCACGTCACTGTTAATGTGACACGCTGAGCTACACGTTTAGTTACTTGCTCACGCCCCCCATTGCCCCGAAAAAGGCGCATTCTGTATAAACAAAATTAGGTAGGCAGCATTTTGCCGCACTCCCCGGTGCAAATTTGCACAATTCCTATCTAAAAAGGACTAATGATAGCAGTAGCGCTAATCTCACTGAAAAACATATTGCACCAGTGTCTTTCACCTGTTAATTGTTTATAATGTGAAGTTGCAGCAGAGGGAGATGTTCATTTGCATCGGTGAAAAAATAATATGGCGCTCTATAGATAGGCAAATATGTTTTCTTGTAAAATGTCCAGTGTGACTGGTAACTCCGGTGTTCTAACGTGATTATTACTCAAGTGAAAATTTCCTCACCGTGGAATCCCTAATTTGTACTTATAATATGGGGAATTAATACCCCACTGAATGTTGTCCAGTAGCGATTGAGTTTGTTATTAGGCTGCTGCACTTTATAGGAATGGCTTACTTCCTACAGAGAGAGCCAGGATCAAGGCTTTCACATCCACAAGCATCTTCCCAAGCATCTTTGTGACACTTAATCACTTAGGGTAGAGTATCCCTGGCTGTAGCTTACCCTGGCAGCTGGCCTTACACTAGAGTGAATTGTAGTTGTAGTTTCCAGGTGTATACCCAGTAACAAAAGACAAGACAAAACCACACACACACACACACTGACCAGTGGGATAATCCATGACCGAGATGAGTCTCCATTTTTCTGTCTTCCCAATACATTAAAGGAATTGAATGTGGGATTGACAGCCACCTGCTTGTTGGCTCCAGGCTCACAGCTGCCGGCTTTCCCAGAAACCCACTTCAAACAGAGCGAGCAGCTTGAGACTGATTGAAGCAATTTTCAGCCAGAGCAAAGTATCGCAGCTACTGTGACATCATAGCCTCTTCAGTGTCTGCTCCAAGAGAAGAAAAAAAAACACACACAAACGAGAGGATAGTGAGCTGATAGAGGACGAACCACGTTCACTGGAGATGTTGGTTTAATTCCCTGACCACCAGACAGTGAAGAGGTACTGTCAGTCTTTCCTCTCTTGAGGAACTCTGTGACCTTCGCTCCTGTCACATGCTGACTGACAGCCACTATTGTACAGAAAGTCTTCAGCTAAAACTCAGGCTGTTTTTCAGAGGAACAGCAATCCCTTCCTCAAGCTCAATCAGGGTTCGATAGATTTCCTGAAAGTTGCTGTTGCTCATAGTATATCTGGTCAGCTTTTTCATGCTCCATCCGCCAGAGTTCGCTCGCTCACTGTATGTTAGGAAGAGGTGTTATAATGCACCTGGGAAATCATATTTCATCATTATCAAAGGGGTGTTTTTCATTTACTTCTTCATCAACCGTAACAATAGTCTTTTCTGACTTCTGTATGGATTCTGATCCAGTCTGCTCGCCGTGCATTGTGCAGATATCCAATGAAATAAGTAAATGAATTCCTTTGAGTCGTGCTGAAATGACACAGTCAAACAATACAAAAATAAAATGGATAAGGGGAAATGGAATTTCATCAGCCTTGTTATTAGTTTTAAATGTGCTTTGTTTGAATACCCTTAGATGACGCAGCAGAGTCCGATGAGTCCGTGGTGGACCGCAGCTATGTGAAGAAGAAGCTGGAGCATGGGTTGACACGCATCTGGCAGGTTGGAAAGAATACTGTAACCCGTCTCTCCTTGCATAGTCGTAGCATGTCTCTTCCTCCCTCTGCCTCGTGTTTTTCTCCACAGTCATCCCACAAGCTGCCATGTCTCTTCCTCTCACAGCTCCTTGCTTTTCTTTTCATTTATTCTCCCAGATTTCTGTTCAACTCAGAGTTGCTGAATCACGACTTCTCCTCCCTGATGAATCACCGTGTCCCTCTCATTTCTCTCCTCAGGACGTCCAGTTGAAAGTGAAGGCCTACATCCTGGGGACAGACATGTCCAACTTCAAATACGACGATTTCATAGTGGTACTCGATGTCATCAGCAGGTACGCCGCAGGGCCAGGACAGTCAGCTCATCCTTGTTTTCCACTAATTGGTTTTCATTATCTCGCTGTCCCTGCCCCTTCCTCTGTCTTGTCCTTTTTCTCTCTTTTTTTCAGGTTGACTTACTCTTACATTTTTTCCCCTCAGACACTTAGCTCTCACTAACTGACTGAAAGGAAGAGACATGTTTGTCAGTAGAATCCAGGATGTTACTGTATACGATTTCAAGCCCACCTGGAATTATCTGTATTCATTTGTAACATAATATTGAACTTTTCTGTAAAATCTAAATTCGCAGCCAAAAAGCTTTAAGTAAGTTTACATTCAGTGTTTGTTGATCTTATCTGTCTACCTATGTACGTTCTGTAGATGAGATCCTCTTTTTATGTCGCAGAACAGCTGTTTGCTCAGTCAGCTACCGAAAAATGTCACAAAAGGTTCCTTTAGATCACTGACTTTAGCTGCAGACTTGTGAGGTCCTTCATCTTCAATACCGCTGCCACTGTAACGACACATTGTCTCGCCTTTTGAATGGCAAGTTGCAGTTACTAGAGCAAGTCTGTTTACATGGCGTCTCTATGCCCCTGCTGGCTCAGCTGTCAGTCAAACACGCACAGCAGTCCTCCTCCAGAGAATTTGAAGCTAAAGATCATTTAGAAAATAGCTTTTACAGTTTTGAGTGCAAAAAGGCATGGATTTAAGGGTAATTTATGCTGAAGCACATGGGCACAGAGAGGAATTTGTGTTATTTTTTTTTCCAATAAAACCTTAAAATGACTACTTATCACTTTACTTATATAGATAAAAATCTGGAAGTCTGTCAATAAAATCATTGCCTTAACCACAGTAGCCCTAACCTGCAGTAGTTACATCATGGTGCAGATGTGCACTCTAGATGAAGTCATTATCATTTGAGGTTTTAATAGGCAGCCATCAAATGCCTCATTTCCACTGCATGATTCGACTGGACTCTGTTCACTTTTGGTACCAGCTCCTTTTCTCTATTCCGTTTTCCACCACAGATAGTAAGTAGCCTAGTACCCCTAGTATCTGGGTTGAGTAAACAAAAAAAATTGTGGTTGCTATTGACAGTAGCTGGCTATTTAAAAATGGTGGATTTGTGCAGGCAAGATTTTTTGGGGGGCATTTTTTACCTCTAATGAATAGGATAGTCTGCGCCAAAGGGGGAGAGAGAGAGGGGGATGACAGGTAGCAAAGGGCCACATGCTGGGATCAAACCCAGGCCGCTGCAGCAAGGACAGAGCCTTAATACATGGGCTACCTGCTCTACCCACTAACCCACCGACACCCAGTCTGTAGTGTATTAACTCCCCCTCCTAATATTGGTTTAGCTCACTTGAAACCTCAACCAAGTGTTAGAAATGGAAAACCAAAACAGACCAAGTCAAGTTGAGCAGAGCGGCTGTACCATGCAGTGGATCCATTTGTTCTCTTTACACCGGGTCTCCTCACTCATCAGATGCGCACCTGCAACAAATCCCTTTCCCCCTATCTCTTACCTTTCCTCTTTGCCTTCTCTCTTCTTCATCTTTGGTCTCTCTGTTATCATGTACTCCCTCATCCTTCAACCCTCTCTTCCAGGTTGATGCAGGTGGGCGAGGAGTTCTGCGGCAGTAAGTCAGAGGTCCTGCAGGAGTCTATCAAACGCCAGAGTGTCAACTATTTTAAAAACTATCACAGGTGAGATGTCTCCATTTCTGCTGGATCATTACCTGGATTGTGTGACAATTAGATGTACCTTCTGTTCATTCACTGAGCTGAAAGGAGTGATTGTGTGTGAACAATTAGACATAGAGTGCATAGATCTGATGCGCAGTCTTCAAGAAAGTCATTAAGACAAAAGCAGATGATACTGATTTCAGGACAGTGCGTGTCTTGACAAAAAAATGTACACACAATCACAACAATTGGCTGCGTCAGTCGCACCCTATTCCCGGCGTAACTTTCTTCGGAGCAGACGTGTAATTACACAGCAACACTGGAAACTGAGCTGGAAGCACATTTACCTCTTGATTATGTAACCCCCTGCCAACCACATGCATATGTATGATTTCACACAGACAGCGCCCCATCATCTGATATGATTTGCATTGATCAGCACTGTGATTACCTGTCATGAACCACTGATAAGATTCTTTAATGTCACAATGCTAATAAGCTTCATCCCTGTGACACATAATGGCAAAGGAGGGGGACACAGAGGCATGATGGGATACATCTGTAGGTTAGAGCTGATCTTAGTTTAAAATAGTAATTGGAATTGAAAAACAGTTAGGTAGAGGTGACAGACCCGAGAAGAGGAAGAGGAGGGGGACACCAGACAGCATTATGAAGGCACATTACCAACCGCAGCAGTGTGCACACATGCTCTCACATACTCACACATCCGCACCGCTGCCCAGGAGGCTTCCACCATGCATCATCTTTACATTAGGTTTGATTCATTTTCCAGCTGGGTGTCATTCCCAAAAGAGATTACCCATCAGTGAACTCTGACTGGCTGATGCCTGCGTTTGTCAGCTGCCTGCAGTCACACACTCAGTCATCGGGGTGGGTGTATTCTTGGCCCCTGCGGGCGCAAAGGACAGTGTGACATTGTCAGGGTTCAGACATGATTAATATCTACGAGCTGTGCCATTGGTTGTTTCTGCTTTCCTGCCTCATTTTCTCTGATTGATTGACATGTTTTCTTTAATTCTCAATGCGTTACATTTTAGGAAGTGTAAGGGAAAGATGCCAGTGTGTGCAAAATGAACCTGCTTCAAATGCAGCTGATATCCCCTCTTTATTTCTCTGCCTCAAGGCTTCCATTTCTTTCACTTCTCATTCTTTCAACACCTTTAAGACAAGTCGCACGAGCCACTGCAGTGTTTGAAGTCAACACTGCTCTGACATTTCACACAGAAAGACCTGATATTGACCTTGCGGGTGACTGTCAGGGTGGCTGTGTTGAGCTGTGATGACAGTTAACATGAAAACATGTTACACACACACACACACAAACAGAGAGTCTCGCACACCTCTTCCTTTTCACTATGTATCAGTGACCTTTGCTGGCTGTTTGGTGTCTGTACATTCAGCCTGGACTCTCGGAACACATGTTAAAAGACCCGAACACACTGCTGGCACGAGGTCAGCAGTGGACACGTGTGCTTTTTCTTGTGTCTTCTTCTTTTTACTTTTTTCTCCCTGCATGTTCCCTTATCTTTCTTCTCATCCCCTCAGGGCACGACTGGAAGAGCTGAGGATGTTTCTGGAAAATGAGACGTGGGAACTTTGCCCTGTTAAGTCCAACTTTAACATCGCCCAGCTCCATGTGAGTAGGAACCACATCGCAGAGGAGAGAAAGCGAAGCACTGACAGTAGCACTCATTTATTCTTCACTGTCACTCATTGCACCCCCGCCACTGTGAGATTTGCATAAGGATATGAAAGACGAGGGATCCTGCTCAGTGACTTTTGTGTGTACGTGTATGTGGGTGTGTGTGTGTGTGTGTGTGCAAGTGTGTCAGCCTGTGTATCAGCACGGGGGAGTACAGTTCACTGCACATCATATAAGACAGATGAAGATAAAATGGTTCCTTTTGATGTGTATTTTAGAGGATTTTATTTCCCACACTCATAACAGTTATGAAACTTAACATATCAGTGCCAAATAGATCATGTACAGCCACAACCAAAATATTTATTTCGTGGATTTATTCCATAACCAGCTCAAAGGAAAGATCGCTGTGCTTGTAACGAGTTCAGCTCACTTCACCTAGAAGCAGAAATGATAAATGGAAAGAAAGAGATGTCGGAAAGATAAATGGAGTTAATTCAATTCCTTTTTTTTTTTTTTTTTTTTTTTTCATTTTCATGCATCTTGTTTTCCCCATCATGTCAGTTTTGCTTGGGCACATTTTATAACAAACAGACTTCACAATAAAACCACCACCATCAGAACTGCATATGTTTACATTATTGTAAACAGGCAGTGTGCTTTGAGCCTCTTGCAGCAACATTCTCTTAAATTTATTTTATATTTTCTCCTGATTTTCTGTTGACAGAACAAATTATCATTGCACTTAGATTCTTATCTTTTTAATGTTTGTCACATTTGGTTGATTATGTTCTGAATTGTTACTGTTTTTATCACTGAAGTTCTTTCACACCCGACAGATCATTTTTGACTCCACAACTATGATCCTTTTAAAATGATTTCAGGAGCACTAGGAGCATTTCCCGATTAATAAATAATACAGGAAGGCTTGTCCTCTAATACCATCTACAGCCTAAGGAGAGCCCATTGTTGAAGGTCAATGACTTGAAGGGAACAAAATAATGCATGAAGAAGCAGGTTGCCGAGCAAGCAGGCAGTTTGCTTGCGTTGTTGCCTTTGGGCCAAGATATTTCCATGAGAACATGCACCTGGCACCTGACATGACCTGTTATGTCAATGGTTTATTTTCTGTTTTCTACCACTGTTTTCAGCCTTATCACGATTGCTGATTTGCAAACGCAGCCATTAATGATCAGCAACATTTTATACTGTAGGCTTTTTGTAAGATAATAACACAGAGCAAATTCTGAAAAGCTCCAGTTTCTAGACCTCCGTTTCTTTTCCTTTGTGCCCCATTTGCTAACTTACAAACTTACATCCATCTCTTTTCTGTCTCTGTCTCATCTCCTCCAATCCAGGAGTTTAAGTTCATGGGTCAGTGTCGTTCTCCGTCCGTTTCCCCAAGCAGACAGGCAGCCTCTTCGACCAGCCCGGCTCAGGAGGAGCTGTCTCTGTTCCAACAGTACCTTCAGGAAGGAAACCCCTTTGAGATGCACGCTGAGCACAAAGAGGAGGAGACAGAGGATGTGCTGGCATCTAATGGGGTAAGTGGCGACTGTCAATGAAACACAGTGGTAGCCATGTTATACTGTCTTTCCACATGTGGACCGTGTGACATCATGTCTTATGATTCAATCTCATTACCTCCAGTGAGATACACCCACTTACATGAGTATGTATAATTAACAAGGTTACCTATTGAGGTGCATCACCAAGCTGATTAATTGGGACATAATCACTGTGGGTCATTAAGTTGTTTACAGCAGCTCTCAAGCTGTCATCACCAGAGCCATAACAAACTTTTATCAGCGGTGCAGGGCCAGCAGTGTAGAACGTGCCGTGATTATTGTAACACTCTGGCACATTGTCTGACTTGTGATATAAAAAGCAAATGAAATCCATGGGTAGATCGAGCAGCTGGGCAAATAATAGATTGAGAGTGGAGCTCTATGTATTTGTCATGTAGTTGTTTTCCTGTAAATGTGTGGGTCCTCATCCAACTGGATTCAACAACTTCCTATGCAAAACTCCAGCCCTCCAATACTGGACATCTTTTTATTTCTTAGAAAACATTTTATTCTTTTTCTTTCTTTCTTTTGTTAAATATAAATAGGCAGGACAATATTTAAAGCAAAGTTAAACTACTAGGCCACTTAAGTGCCAAACGCAGTTGACAGAGACGAGAATTCTTTGCTTTCTTTGAGAGTCTGTGTCACTGTGCATCCATCAGTGTGCTTTGTGCAAACTGCATCTTCAAACCAAGAAGAAGAGTCGAGCTTTGGACGTAGCAGGACCCTCTTGTCTTGTCCAGCAGCTCAAAGCAAGCACTTCCGCTTTGCCTAGTGAATCTTAATCTGGAAACATAGTAGGCAATGCATGTATCAGTATGTTAAACAACAGCCCAACAGACGCAACGAAATCAATAAACACTTATGCCAGGGCCCTCGTGTTTGTTGAGGGGAGTTTCTTGTCTGTTATCACACACACCAGCAGTGCCTCTTTGGTACCTGCAGATTTCCAGTGAAGCGTAGAAATTGCTTCAGTAGACACTGATGGGCAGCCTCAGCACAAACACTGCCTGTCTTCATGGTCCTGTGTTGCTGCTAGCTGGACAGATTAGCTACCTGCTCCTCCTATGACTAGTATAAAGTCCAAAATAAATTAGTTGTACCTTCAAGGCTTATGCAGCATTCGCTTGGACTGAGTCAGACGGTGGACATCGGACCAGATATCATTTTAGAGGATGAACGCATGGCGGTAAACTTGGGTGAAGCCGGCAGAGAATACCAGCAACTGTCCACCATCTGCCTGAATCAATGTGAATGCAGCATTATTTGTTGAATGAAACCTTACTTCAAGAAATTACACAGGTGCCCCGCCAACCTGACACGCCACGCACTTTTTTATATATTGATGTATTATCCTTCCAGGCTCAACATCAAAAGCAATATTGCACTGTCTAACATGTCAGGCTTACAGGAGCCCTAGCTCGGCTCACTTTTAAGCTTGTAATCCTTTCTATATGGCTGTTGTGTTGCCTGAGCTTGCCGTTAAGGACAAAGAAAATATTGTCTTATTTCAGGGAAGCTTTAGCCAGACTCTCCTCTGGGAGGTGAATTAATTTTCTGCTTTTTCTCCTCAAGCCAGTCTTTTCATAGTTTTGTACCCATTAGGACAAAACGACTGGGAGGTTGTACTTTCTCTTTAATAATTAATTTTAGATCATTTAATCACAGCCTTTTCACACAATTTGGTTTTACAGCGGTTTCTTCTTCAGTAGCCAGTTTTTATCTGATGACATAATTTCCCCATGGCATCATTTTTTCTTCACACTTCACACTTCCACAGCTGGTGATGTGTCAGCAAAGTTTCACAGCATGTTATAACAGCGTTGTTTTCTACCCTTGTGCTCACTTCAGTTTGACTGCATTTCTTTTTTGACTGTTTTCCATTGACTTCCATCTGATCTTCCCCAATTCAAGTACGAGTCAGATGAGCTGGAGAAGAGTGTGTATCAAGATTACGACAGTGACAGTGATGTCCCCGAGGAGCTAAAGCAGGACTACGTTGATGAGCAGACGGGCGATGTCCCCCTCAAGAGGTCAGTTCCCAGTCAAACTGTTTTACACAACAGCGTGTGTAGCGTTTTCCACGTTTATCTATTTGTGACGGCCCGCAATGACATTCGTAATGCTGTTGCAATAAATACAGCGTTATTAAGGGCATCACACTCTCAGAGTAAAGACTGACTTTGGGCTTAGACCGAGCAGCAGAATGCCAAGTGCAGTTACAGTGAAATTTAACAGTTCATTAATTCATATATAGAAACAGTATGCTCCGTTTCTTAGAACAACAGTGCTCTCATTTTAGTGTTATCCATCGTTAATCCATGTTCCCTCGGAAACTGCGCTACCCACAGTCCAGCGTTGCATCTAACCTGTGTAATGGCAGCAACAGAAAGGTTGCTGTCGCTCACCTCTGCAGCACCTGCTCCTCTAATCTAATCCACCAGTCTGATCTGACCAGCTCCGACTGATCTGACCACAAACTGACCGACTAAACAATTCTCCACCATGCGGCTCAAACTCAACAAACTCCTGCTGAAGGGGGAAAAAATAAGGTTCCACTTGCAATGTGTTCACGGGACCACAAAAACCTCCAGGGGACACAGATCACAAAAGGACACACACAAAAATAAGAAAGCTGACACCTCCTCATCATGAGCTAATTCTGTGGGAAACACTGAAACGGTACGCGGTATATCCTGGTGTCCATCCCTTCTTCCCTGTGCTATTTTAAAGTAAATGAACATGAGCACGGAAAAATAAGTAACTCATGTTAATCACAGACACAAAACAAAATTACATGTCTTTCATCAAGGAAGTTCTACACACACATTCTATGCATTTAGCAATGATAATTTTGCTCCCCTCTGCCTAACCCTGCTAAGTAGGCAGAAAGCTCGTATAAAGCTTTTTTGTCTACACATGAAAAATTCTCTTTCTTCCCACCTCCTCCATCTTGATTGGTGACTATTGAAAGATCAGTCACCACTTAACAAAAGCAGAGGCAATCATGCTCCTCTGCACCTTGTGTAAAATGATTCATTTTCATTTGAAAGAGAAAATCTGAATGCAATTTAGGAAAGTTTTGTATTTTTCTCATGTCATTATCACCCAGTGTTGAAGTCATACTGTATGATTAATGCAAGCAATTACCACTGTAGCATGTTATAACTGGAATTATTTATGACTTTATTGCTTTTGTTTGAGCATGACAGAGTTTTTTTTTTTTTACCCTCCTCGTTCAGTTTATAATGTTTTCGTCATGTGTATGTGGTGGACTGAATGATTAAGAACCCAGGATTATGTGCGTTTGTGCATATCTGAGAGCTGACATCAAGTTTCACACCGGATTTGCACGGGAAACAAGACATACAATACTATTAATTATTCAGTAGCTCCTTATTACAGAAGCATTGTTCTAATAATCATTTCCTGTCATGTAATATACAATGACTTATTCATGGTATCGTGATGTTCATGCTCAGCGTTGAGTCTCGTTATTTCACAGATGTGACATCGCCTGGTACTTTTTGCTTTAAATCTCACGCCTTCAATTTCCTACTCCCTATGTGTATTAACCTGACATTAGCCTATAGTCGCTAAAATTCTAATTTCCCATTCTTATAAGCAGGAATCACTAATTGTTAATTACTGAACGGGTCGCATGGTCACATCCAGAAATTAGACGGCCCATGTAATGATTGCTGGTTAATATGGCTCAATAGTCAGTGTCAGGGGTCTGGTACTCCAAGATCACCAGTTCAGAGACTTTACCACCGGGGTCCTCCTCTGTCCCCTGCATTGTGTAATGGGTTCTGATTTATCAATTACAAGACTCTGACCCCCGTTAAGGTTTTTGAACCTGGCCGATCGTTGCTAAGGATTAGTGATGTTAAGATATATTACTGAGTCTCACCTCTTCTCATGACTCTGCCCTACTTTCTGTCTCACCCCCTCACGTCCTTCATGCTTCAGCGTGTCCCGGGAGACCATAAGAAGCAAGAAAAAGTCCGACTACAACCTTAACAAGACCAATGCACCGATCCTCACCAACACCACCCTCAACGTCATCCGGCTTGTCGGTGAGTCCCTCACACGCATACACACAGCACACACTCTAACTCTCCGTGAGAGCTTCCCAGCTGCAGTGGTCATCCTCTCCAGCCTGCTGAGGTTTCTATTTAGTCACTATTAAAGCCAGCAGCTCTTTGCAGTCGGTACGCTCAGGTCTCTGCCGCCACCTGTGTGACGTAGCTGCGCTAACAATCGTTACTCTTCAGCCTGAGCTCTGACCTTCCGTTTCCAAAGAGGTGTTCATACATCTTTGTGACGTGGATTTAAAGACATCTTGGCCTCTCCTTGGCAAATCGTGCCCTTCTCAGATGTGACCCTCTTGAAGTGATTTTCATCATGTGTGGAAAGGAATTAGACTTGGCAGTTATCTCTTCTGTGTGGTTCATATGGCGTGAATAAATCTTCTGCTATATGAATTAATTTGATAACTCAGCTTGATACAGACCTGACATTATTCTTAAAAGGATACTTTGCAGATTGTTAACTAGCTTTGTCTCATAACAGTGTGGCTAGTATATGGAAAAGAAGTGCGATAAACTTTCTTTCAGTTTTATCAGCATCCATATCTCAGTGCTCATATCTCTGCTCAAATGTGTCATCCAGTAGACTTTAGCTATTGACTTAAAGCTTAAAGCTAGGACTGTTGCCTTAACTACAGCTTATACTTGAGCATTTTTGTATGCCACCACTGACACAAAGAGTGTGGAAGCGAATTGAGGGAGCGACACTCCCCCCTCTCTCTTTCTCTTACTTTCAAACTCAGACTAAACTCAGATCAAACTGTAAAACTAGACAGTAGTGATCAAATATAAACCAAGATTCTGTGACTGTCTTCAGAAACATATTTTAGTGCACTGTTTAGCTGTAATATGAGAATTTTTGAACAAGAAGTGTGTGCTATACTGTTTAAAACTTTGCCTAAAAGGTTTTTAGAAACATATTTTAGCTTAATGTTTGACTATAAGTGGAGATTATTTGTTACCAGCCAGCTGCCATGTTGTTTACTGTGTTAAAATGGCCAAGCTCGCATTACGTCAACCACCAGTAGGAGTGTTAATTGGTCCATTCTGGTAGTTGTAGGTTTTCCACTTCTTGAGCAATAGTAAATTACACAGCCCTTTTCCTTTGTTTTCTCTGTTTATGTAGCACCAATTTCAAAAGTATTTTGTCTTCTTTCTGCATAGAAAAGATTATCTTTCCAGCAGTGAACATTAAAAAAAAAAAAAAAAAAAAAAAATCTGGTCCCGCCATGTGTTTTCATTTAGAGTGCCCATCTTCTTTTTACACTTCAGCGTTTGCTGCACATGCAGTACAAAATACAATAATTGATTTCCTTTGTCTTTTCTACACAAAATTGGTGATATTGATTTAGAGCAAGTGGCAAACTGAGCTGAACCAAAATTTGATCCCATGCAATCACTTCTAATTCAGTCTGTGCAGCTCTTTGACGGAGTTAGATTGCTCCCCGAGTTCTCGGTGCACAACTCAAGAGAAGGGGCGTGAAAAATGAGAGTGTGAGAGAAATAGCGCTGCCTCAGTGGCACAGCCAGCTAGATTGAGTTTATTTCTTCTTTCTTTTCCCTCCATTCATCAGTTCTGAGTCAATGGTAACCTTGTTACACCCCTGTACCTCTGTACTTGTTGCTTTTATTACCTCCCTGCTAAATTGAATCCTTGCCCTTGAGTGTATGCAAATGCAGCGTGTCCCTGCTCAAGTTCTTCCCCAAAGGATGTGGTTCCACTTTGATTAACTTCTCGTAATTTAACTCTTTTAATCCCCTGTAAGATGTATTTAAGAACAAAGGCATTTCATTTGTTGTCAGCTGATACAGGGTAAAAAAAAACTTTAAATAAAACCCAGTATGTGTGTCCAGAGCTGTACACCTAGAAATGCAACCAGCAGTACATAAAGCTTGTCCAACACACTTCTTGTAACTACTTATTTTCTGTCTCTATCTCTGCACAGGGAAGTATATGCAGATGATGAACATTCTGAAGCCCATCGCCTTTGATGTCATCCACTGTGTGTCACAGCTCTTTGACTACTACCTGTATGCTGTATACACATTCTTTGGACGCAATGACATGGTACAGTATTTTTTTAATCACTATGCTACTGTTTGATTAAACACTGTATATTTATGTTGAAGAGCAATGTAACTGTCTCCACTGTCAACATACATATGTGATATGATGTCATTTCCGTAACCGCTTAGCCTGTTGGGGTCGCTGGGGGCTGGAGCCTATCCCAGCTGACATTGGGCGAGAGGCGTGTACACCCTGGACAGGTCACCAGACTATCACAGGGCTGACACATAGAGACAGACAACCATTCACACTCACATTCACACCTACGGACAATTTAGAGTCACCAATTAACCTGCATGTCTTTGGACTGTGGGAGGAAGCTGGAGTACCTGGAGAAAACCCATGCTGACACGGGGAGAACATGCAAACTCTGCACAGCAACATGCAAACTCCACCCAGCTCTCCCGCCCTGGGTTTGAACACTCTTGCTGTGAGGCGACAATGCTAACCACTGCATCACCGTGCCATGCTCGAGACCAACAAATGATAAAACCGGGGGTTTTTAATACATCTGACATTTCCAGCAATGTTTGTTGTGACGAAACAGGCCAAAACATGATTTTTCCGTAACCCTGAACAGGTGGTTTTTGTTCTTAGACCTACCACACGTTAACCACAGCATTGTCACAACATAAAATTGGGTAACACTTTACTTATGTACATTATGTACATGTCATAAACATTTATGACTGCTGTCATCAAGTGTCATTCGGTGTTTGTAATGACAAGTTGACATTGTTTGGGTTGTCTTGATTATGACAACTTGACATTAATCAAAGTGACATTACCAGAAGTTGTCTTTGTCATGACAAGTTGACATTAAATTTGTTTGGGATGTCCTTATTATGAGAGGTGCATTTCTTGTTAATGTCAAGTTGTCATGACACAGACAACTTCTGGTAATGTCGCTTAAATTAATGTCAAGTTGTCATAATCAAGACAATCCAAACAATGTCAACTTGTCATTACAAAAACCGAATGACTCTTAATGACAGCAGTCATAAACGTTTATGACATGTACATAATGTTCATGACAAGTTCATGACAGTGTCATGTCACCCTTATGTAGATACCTTCAAGTAAAGTGTTACCTAAAATTGAAAATTAAAATGCAAAGAAACATAAAGTTTCAACATATCCACTACATATGAAACATATAAACTTAACACATGAAACATGGTTCGCGGAAACATACAGTGCCAGCATTTATTCTGGCAGTTGGGTTTTGACAAATTATTGTGGCACAAATGTGATGAAATTGTAACTTCACTGAAAGTTGACACACGCTGATGCTGAGAAATGAGACAGTGGTGTATTCTGACGAGTCTACAAGTGTCAAGACGGTGCTCTAGTGGCCCAGAGGTTCAAGGTTTCAACAATCATCAGCAATATCACTGTTCATTGTCCAGTATGACGTGCCCATCTCTCTCCCCTCATTTGCTGTAGTCTTTCTACTGTCAACTTTTTTTGATAAAGGCATAAAATGCTCTTGGGGACAGTTTTTTTATGTGTACCATCCATTACAGTGCTACTAATAATTAAGAAATGTAAGCTCCCACAAGTAATCAGGAGTTTTGTAATTTTTTTTTTTCCATTGAAATGCCTGCAGTTACATATAACTTCTGCTGTATCAGGGGTATGGAACTTTAAGAGAGTTGCCTGCATTCATTTCTAAAGATAGATTTTAGATACTTTCGCATTTATTAGATGATATACATTGAAATGAGGGGAGAAAAAAATGCTGCCTCGTCTTTTTTCATTGCTGTCTCTCTCAGCATAAATTTAAGTTGAATGTTAGGTTGCGGTGTGGGAGCCCAGTTTCCCCTGCTCCATCTTAAGACTATCATGTCGTTTATACTGTGCTACACAAAGAAAGAAAACAGCGTTTGTGTCAGTATCACCCTCGGGGAAGTGGTAATGATAGAAACAGAATGACTTTCCCATTGAGGTGGGGGGATAAAGTGGATGAACGCTCCGTGGGGGCCGCTCTGCTGCACATTATTGATGTCTATGTGTGTGTGTTTGTCACGGGGAGATGAGGGAAGGGGACACGCTGATTTGACAACTTGTCAAGAGGTCGCTTTTCTCATGCGTCTTAATCTGACCACTATGAGTTAATGGACAGAGTGTGAGTGTGTTTAATGCCTTTACTCATATCGCTCTTTCTCCTTATCACTGTCTACTCTCTTCTCCTCTTTACACATATACTATATGTCATATGCTCCTTCCCACCCTTCTGCTCCTTTCACATAGCATCACGTCTTTTATCCCTTCTGCTTTTTCCCTCTCACTGTTCCCAGGCCATTTATTATCTCTCTGTCTGCATCTCTCTCAAACTCTCACTTTCTTTTTCCTGTGTGGGTCTACTCCTCATTAAATGTAATATCGTGAACTGGCCTGTTTCATTAATAGTCTTACTCAAAGAGGCACCTACAGCAAAATGCTAATGCCCCTATGAATCTTTAAAAAGCTTGTGGAAATTGCTATGCACATATGCTGGTATTCTGACCTAGGCTATGCTCTCTTTACACCACTGGAATCAAGATGGAACTGCTTAACTTCTCCAGTTGAAGAGTAATGGGTGACATTAATATTTAAAAGGGTAAATACCCCATTATCTGTGTGTATTGGTCCTGTCAAGTCAAGCTGCGCTATTGACTCTTGTCACACACATGCTAAAGATGCACAAGAGAGGCAGAGTTACAATTAGGTATTTTAAAAAGTGATAATCTTTCCAAAAAAAATATAAAAAGTTTGCCCCATTGGAATAACTTGGATGTTTCTCCTGGGTGTCTACTCCATGAAGAGACAGAAAAAAGACACAGTAAGAGAAAGAGAATATGACATAATGTGAATTGAAAGATGGAGGAAAGATAAAGAAAGAAGACGATGTACTGTGCAGATCTGTTTTGCAATATGATGGCAGAAAGAAAAAAGAGAGGCTGGATATTGAAACAGCGAAGTGGGAGAGATGTGTTGAGTCAGAGCTGCAGAAAGAGAGAGATCAGAACAGGAAAGTATCTGACACGTGAATAGATTGCATCTCTGAAAAATGAGCAATAATGCAAGAAATGGTTCTTTATCATTCGGGACTCCTGACTCCCACAGACAGTTCCTCACAATGCCTGATATTCATCTTGCATGCACATGTGCGAGCCGAAATGTTTACACCATCAGAGTCTCCTGTGACGCAGAGCCAAATAAAATGCCAACCAACTCTCTCAATTGCTTCCTGTCTTCCTTCAGATAATTGTGACCCTGGCTGATAATATAATTTAAGATACTGGTATTTCACTGGCGGCCAGGTTAGCTTATAGTTGGAGTTGCAATTTCCCCTTCAAATGCAAGGCCATTTAACTCCTTTGGGATGAGGGCTGTGTCATTAAAATAGTGCTCTTAGTGTTACACTTCCCCTAAAATTGGACTTTAAAAAAGGGAGATTGAAAAAAGGAGGTCAAAATTGAAGCAGCAGAGGTCGAGATGTCCTGACTTCTTGACTTTAAGTCTCATAAAGCAAGTCCACCACAGCTTTCATTAGGTCCTCCTTGCTTTCTAAGTGCCACCGTCTTTAAAACCTCAGAAGTTTTTATTATAAGCCTTTATAAGCCTAATCATGATGATTTCGGAACAACGGGACCTCGGAACAGTGGGTTTGATATGGTCGGAACAATGGGCTGTTGGACCAAGGGGCAGACCCCCTCTGATGGGGAACCGAACTGAAAGTGAAACTTGTTACTGCTCTCTTCAAAGCCAGACTCCATTGACAAAAACAGTAATTTTACCTCGCTGAACATGGGAGCTGCTGGTCTACTGCTGCCTTGATTGGCAGTTTTGTGTGTGTCTGTGTTATTGTGTGATTTTGCTGAATCTGAACGAACCCTTTAGAACACCAAAGTAACACACACTAGCTAACTGATCGAGGCAGTGGTACATCAGCAGCTCCTTTGTTCAGTGACATTAAATTACTGTTTTTGTCAATGGAGTCTGGCTTTGAAGAGAGCAAAGTTTGACCTTCAGTTCAGTTCCCCATTGGAAAGGGCTGTCTTTTTAGAGGTACTGAGCATACCGGAGAAATGAGACCAGTGCTGTGTCTGAAATCACATACTTCCGTTAGTACACTTCCATGTAGTATACTACGTGCATTATGTACTTATTGGGGTAGTGCATGAATTTCAACAGGGTAATGTTGTTTCAAACCAAACCGACCGCAAATTAGCTAGTTGGCAAACTAGCATTAGCATTTGCGTTATCGTTTGCTTGTACCAAATCATTACAGATGGCTAAATTAACCCAATTAACATACTGCTGGTTTATACCCGGCAACAGTATAGTGGTGCTGAGTGCAGAAAACACATGTATTTGTACAATGCAGCGACTGTAATGGTCGCACAGTCCTCAGCCATTTCCAGTTTGAAAAGTGGTCCCTCCCCTTCCTCTACGTAGCCAAGATGGTGATCATTGAGGGCGAGAAGTGTCCATAGTTCCACACTTAACTTCTTGACCGTTTTGAGTGCACCATCCGGATACTCATAGTGCACTGCATTTTTCCATACTTCCCAGTGTGAAGGCACTCATGCACTCAAAATATTAAGAGTACAGAAGTACGCGATTTGAGACACAGCAAGAATTTTCTTTGAGTTTGGATTCTTCGTTCATTGTAGGCATGAAAGAAAAACAGTGTTTTCTTCACAAACTCAGCATAACACTGGGTGAGTAATTCATATACAAATGATGATTTCGAAGATGAAGTATTCCTTTAAGCCCACTGATGACATCATCAAGGTTATCTCTGATGACATTTTTTTTTTTTCTTCTTTCAAACCTTGGAAAGCTTCCTCCGGGGATAGAAGACATTATAGAACTGTTTTCACAGGCTGTGTAGCACTAGTGGTGATACAGAAACTGAACCTCTGAAGGACGTTTTCAAACATCACCACGCTTTGTATCACATCTGAGAGATGTAAAAAGGACGATGTTGAACTGGAAGCATGTTTCAGTTCAAGGACAAGTGCAAGATAATGTGGGAACACAAAGTAGACAGCCACTATGTATCCTGGTAACAAGGTTCAACAGCGACTGGATATTACTTTCATTACTAATTGTTTTTTGCTTTGTGTTTTATATTTTTGTAATTTGAGATTTTGCTTTTTCCTCTCTGCTGTCCATTCATTGCCCAAAGCCCGTCCCAAGCCCGTCTTTGCCAGCTCATGGCAGTAGGGATGCAGGCACTGCCAGGGTGTTGGGCCCTGCTTGCTTGGTAAGAGTAGATCTCTGGAAGCATTATGACTCATACACAAGGTTTTTCCCTGCCTTGTGAGTGCAAAACACTAGTCAACACTTGTGGTGTGGTTGATTTGAAGCCCTTAAGGTGTGCGTGATTTGCTTACTCAAGTGACATCGAAAACATCTGAAATGGATTTCAGAGGCTTTTAGATGTTGTGTTTGCTGTGCTATCTCCCTCGCCACGCTCCTCTTTTACCTCTCGTCTGTCATCCACTGTAGCTGGTGTGATTGTCTGAGTTTGATGTCTGTTCCTCCCCGTTACTCCTCCCTCCTTCGGATAGGACTCGACTAGAAGCAGAAAGTAAAAATTCTCTCGTCTCTGACTACGTGAGATGAAAGCAGATGTTGCAGTGTGTATGTGTGTGCGTGCTTTCACACTCTGCTGAAGTGTGTGTTCTTATAAAGGAGCGTGTTTTTTGCACGGTGCCGACACTAACTGTGTGTGTATATGTGTGTGTGTATTCTACAGTATGAGTCATCGGGTCTGGGCCTTATCAGCAGCAGACTGAGAACCACACTGAACCGGATCCAGGAGAGCCTCATTGACATGGTGAGACTGTAACTCTCCCTTCCTCTGCTCCCTGTCTCACTTTCTCTTGTACTGATTCTCTCTCTCTCTTACCATCCCTCGTTACCTCATCGCCTGTCTCATTTTGTGACACAAACATGCTCTCCTCTCCCTTTTCCTTATGTGCCTCTCTCCTCTTTATGCCTCCACCTGCATTTTTTTGCCCATCCACTCTATCCACCCTGAGCACACGTCTGATCCCACAGCCCGTATCGCCACAAAATGCATTATGGGTCATCATTATCTGGCCAGTGGTCACTCACACGTACGCACACCCCTCTGTGTAAGTGGACACACCAGGGTGAATGCGTGTGTTATTCCATTAGGGTTTTCAATCACTGCTCCCCTCTGTAAAACTACATAGTAACAATTAGTCTGGTGCGGTCCACTCACTACACTTCTGTCTGATAGTGTGTCCTTCTGCAGTCTGTCTCCTCTGATACACGATGAAGCGGGTGCCATCTCTCACTTCTGCCTTTTATTAGTCTCCATATCAGACAGGCGTGTTGGCCTGTGTTCACAGAAGCCACACTTGGACTTAAGTTTGGCCCTAATATGCAATACCATTGAAGTTTTGCACCCCTGCAGGGGAAAATAGCATTGTGTTGATGTGTTGGCGTGGTCTCTCTTTGTTTTTAGTGAGAAAAAACAACCAGATGCGTCCCCTGAGTCTAATTATGATAGAAGTGTGAGTGAATGGCTCACTGAACTCATGTTTTCGTCATCCTGCCATGATTTCAAATCTGGATACTCGTTTTTATGTATTTACAAATGTAATTGGTTATTTACACATGTTGGTTATGTACATTACTATTCAGAGGTGCCAAGTTCAGAGGCTCTGGAAACCAGACATTAACTCAGCTTTTAATTTAGCTCAGAGTTGCTGTGTCAGAAAATAAAGAGGCCATAATTGCTTATGCATATTGTAATTGGATTTTTTTTTTATCATATGTCACAATATGTGACTCACAATCTGTTCTGAAAATGAAGAAGAAATATTCTTTTCCCATAGTACATCCTGTTTTTCATTTTCTAAAACCCTGTGGGGCTTTCTTAGGGTGTCTGCATGTCCTTAAAATGTCATAAATTCTGTAAATATTAGGCCCTAAAGCCATTAAATAGTCTTACATATGAATTTCTGAGGTCTTAATTGCCACAAACCTTTTAAGCAGATGCTATTTGCACCCAGGTGTGTATTCCTGGGCATCCTAGCTGGCAGCATCAAAATATGACGTTAAAGGTATAATATGTAGTTTTTCCACATAAAAATGTCTAAAAACGAGTAAACCAATATTATATATTTTGTTAAGAAATGTAATGTTTCCAAAAAATTTTCAAACCCAGATAAATATGAAATATTAATAAAAGTTACGGAGCGTGTCATTAGGTCGCATGTCAATGGCGACGTAACTCCAGTTACCATAGCCATTAAATGAAGGAGAAAAAGAAGAAGCAGACCGGATGAGACGTCAGAGAATGAACGTTACTGTTGCTAGGCTAAGCTATCTCGTCATGGATCATGATTATGCATTGACGGTTGCTGCACCTCCTGACAATGAAGCTGTCCCGGTAAACAAGCCGGTAAAACGGAAACATACGGGTCAACCAAGCGATCCCAGAAGAATTTGGGATAAGAAAAGAGCTAAATCCAGGATAAATATTGGTGTGGCCTTTCCGAGATGGAGAGAGTTTCGTGAAAATCTAGGACTACAATTTGACGCCGACCTCGCGTGTGTTCTACTAGACAGGTAAGCAAACATCTGGCAGATGTTATCGAAATATTAATCATTTCCATCAGTGTACTGCAAGCACTGCTGCCCGCCGGGGCACCAGCGCTCCGGCCAGCGGCCGGCAAGAAACGTTACTATTGATAGTTAGAACAGAGTTTGACGATCCGGTGTAGGTACCAGATCGGCTTGGGCTGCTACACCAGCCGACGGACCCTATTTGCATAACGTGAATATAACTTCAGTAATATACCTCGTCCATGAGCATTTCTCTGCTGCTGAAGCTCGCTCTGCCAAAAAAACTGCCACAGTCGGTTTCGGTTTCACGGAGTGAGGAACGTCAGATCTGTATCTGTTATATAACTACAACTCCCATGATCCCACGCTACTTCGTGACATCATCAAACTCCGTCTTTTGTTATTATTTTGGTTTGAGACCCCTAGCGGCAGAAAATTACATATTGCACGTTTCATGCAAACCGGTCTATTCAGCTATTCTGCTAAAGTTTATGTGCACAATGTGCATTCAATTCCTGTGCCTAACCCATTCACCCACCATGTCTTGCTTCCTTCAGAGATTGTGTCGCTCTATTTACCACGTCACCTGACTTACCGGCAGTACATTTGTGACTTTTTCCTCGTCAATTTACCACTGAAATGTCAGAGAATATCTGAATTGGCACTAGCGGAGGGAGCTCGGAGTAGAGCCGCTGCTCCTTCGCATTGAAAGGTGTCAGTTGAGGTGGTTCGGGCATCTGCCTAGGATGCCTCCTGGGCGCCTCCCGCTGGAGGTGTTTCAGGCACGTCCCACTGGTAGGAGGCCCCGGGGCAGACCCAGAACACACTGGAGGGATTACATATCTCGTCTGGCTTGGGAACACCTTGGGGTCCCCCAGGATGAGCTGGAAAGCGTTGCTGAGGAGAAGGATGTCTGGGGTGCTTTGCTTGACCTGCTGCCCCCCCAACCTGGCTCCGGATAAGCGGGTGAAAATGGATGGATGGATGGATGGATGGATGGATGGCCCTAACCATGACCTCTTTACCCTAATCCTATCCTCTTCCAACCTTGATGTGTCAAAGTGCTCAGGACATTAGGACCTTGACACATACAAAAAACAAAGATGATTGGTCAAGAAATCCGTCTCAAATTTTGGTAAAAATGTGTTTTTAAAAGGTCTTAAAAAGTATTTAATTTAAGTGTCACATACCTGTAGACACTCGCTCAAATTCTGCAGGGCAATACTTTAAATGTGCCATTTAGTGTTCTTTTTGATTCTGAAACATTATTGAAACACAGAGAAAACAGCTGGCAGCAACTCCGTCACTGATTTGGAATGTTATTATTCGTCAGGTGTCTGTCAACACCAATAGCAATCTAATAAGAAGCTGCCATGGCAACCATCATCACCGATCTCATCTTTAATGTATATCCCATCAGAATGTGAAGTGAGGTGAACAGAGTGAATTGTTTTCCAACCAGCATCACTTTTGCATGCAGATATAATCAGCAGTTTTCCACAGTAGAAAGCACACAGCATCCAAAGCGCCTTTTTTTTTTATTGAAACAAAGTATTTATTTGACAGTGCAAAATAATGGCATTTCGCTGTGATTGCAATGCTGGCTACTTTGCTGTGATGTTTATAGCTTAGAAATTCAGGGTTAGACTGAGGACGGGGGGAGGGGGGACTAAAGCAAAGTAAAGCAGGACGACAGAGGGAAGAACAGAAATAAAAGTTAGAAAAGAATGATGAGGTAACAGAACTTTAAATTGCAGCGAGCAGTATACATACCACAGCAACATGTTTTCTTCCCTCGGGGGGCATTACAGCGACTATTTAAACCCCAGTTATTTTCTGGCTAAATCGTGAGCCATTTCCAAATGTCAGACAAGTGCGGTGCTCAGCTGTGGAGAGCATGTTTATGCCCTGAGCTGATCAAATGAGCACAGACGGACAAATGGACAGACTGGGTGCAGAAAGAGAACAGAGACATTTGGGCTTTTAAGTGAGCTCTCTCAAGAGACAAAACGAGGTTAAACCTTTAACGCCTGCATGCACACGCGCATTTCAGATGAGCATAATCATATCACTTTGTGGCCATCACAGGCTGTGTGATATTAGTTCTATTTAAAACCACTTCAGAGGCAGGACACTGACTCGGGCTTTGCAATTACATCCATCCACTCTCTAATGTTTTGGCAAATGCTTTTAGTCTGTCCTTTCTCATATGCAAAACTATTTTAGCTCATCTCGATAAATCATTCAATGTTGGAAAAATGCCCTATTTTCCAAACTTACACAGCACTCCCTATTTTTTCCTCTTTTTTCATCTCTGTCTTGCTCCTTCTCTGCTCATCTGTCTTTCACATCATGATCCGCTCAAATAAATCTCACAGACACACACTTCGAAAAGCGTTCTCATTTCCACAGCTGATGTATACTGTCATTTATAACAATTTACATCCAGTTTCCATATGGATTATAAATCCCCTCTTTTTTTAATATAGGTGATTTCACTCCAAAGTGAGAATGTATTCATGTAGAGTACACAGATGCACTCCCCCCTGCATACAAATACACACACTCACACACTCCAGAGACTGCAGCAGGGTAGACCTCATTTGTAAACAGATTATAAAGTTAATTGCACACTGCATTTCAATCGAGCATCCGAAACCCTTGTGATTTTGTTCCCCTGGTTTGCCGTCGCAACTGTTTGATTCCAAAACCAATGTGCTGATAATGACTCCGAGTCCCATATGGACGACAGCGAGATTCCATCTCATCTCGTCTCAGGTACGAAGTGGCTTCAGCTTAAATTGGGAGCTCCATGGGGAAAAGTAAAAGATCATCCCCTCGTTTATGCTCTCTTTCGCTCTGCCTCCGCTGTTCTTGATTACCTCTGCAAAACCCCGACGCTTCTCTGGGTTTGACGGTTTTCATTTTGAGTTTGCTCCCTTTTGACTTTGAATATTTCATTGAGAGTGTTCAAAAGGTTGTGAGGTTATGGAGGAACTTCTAAGATGTGCAGAGACGTAATTGCCTTTTTCACACATTCGTGTTCCACCAAACACCTGTTACGTAATGTTCAATCATTCGCACTGTCATCCGCACCAGTCTCCAGTTGGAATGTGTCATCTTTACTTGAACTTGAAGCTCCGAACTGAATTGTTTTACTTGAAAGGAATCAGCTGTCGCATAAAATAATGGTTAATCTTTGCTGGAAGAAAAAATTCAACTCCTTTGGTAATATGC